CCTAGGGCCAGTCGATCGTATCAGTTGATAAAGGACACGGCTGTTTCCCGTAGCAAAAGCCTTCTCCATCTCCCGAGCTTTCGATGTCCACCAGAGCTCTCGGTCTTGGGGACAGACACACTCTTCGAACAAGTCTTTGGTGTACAAACAATTTTCATAATTGCCCAGTTTGGAACCACCGGCACGTCTACACGATGGTACTGATTTCGATGTCCACCAGAGCTCTCGGTCTTGGCGCTGGACACACTCTTCGAACAAGTCTTTGGTGTACAAACAATTTTCATAATTGCCCAGTTTGGAACCACCGGCACGTCTACACGACCTATGGTACTGAGATAATGGTTATCGAAGATCTGAAGATGTCCTCGTTCCGCTACACCTCTCCACCACTAGCCGCTGCAATGTGGTCCGTTTGGTCTGTGTTGATTTGTTGGTTGGCATTAGGTAGTCGAACGGATTCCATAACTCCACTACTTTATACTGTAAAGCTGGAGCTTGTGATGAGTACACATCTGCAGCGGGCGCTCTTCGTTGTCCGTGAATCTCAGGTCTAGACCAAGAAGACCGTCCATTTGGGCCCCAGCAGCGCTAGGCTTACATTGGTGAGCATCCAATTCAACAGCGCCCATAGGCATGACGTGAGAGAGAATAAAGTGTCATAGGCTGAGAGCTGCACTCCGGAACGTAATCAAATGCCATGAACAGGGAGCGATGGACCTTCCCCTCTAACTAGGTTGCCAATCGAACCACTCAGTGGTCACCATCGACGAACATCCAACCAAATAGATATGCCGCCCTCATCCCAACACATTAGATCATGATTATCAGCGCCTTCACATTATGGTGGGTGTTAGCTGCCTGGGGAACATTCGCAATGAGATGGTGCGTAAGCGAGTATACCCGAGATGGATCAGAATCTCCGTGGCGGTAATTAAAACCCATATGGTTAATTTGGTTGGACAAACGCCGTGTGAATCTAGATGGCGTTTGCCAAATGAACCACTACTTTCAACTCCAAACTCTCTTTGGTCACTCTGGATAACCGAATACCACGTTCAAACGATGAACGTAAGGCGAGCCGGCTAAGGACTGAATGGAACTATACCCTAATTGGTCGGAACTAAGCCAATCAGGATCAGGATTTTCAAATGAATGCTTCTCGCCCTATGACGAGGATTGCCGCCCGACCTTTCAGGATAGTCTGTCATAACCTTATTCGTACATGTGAAACAACTAGTTGTCTCCATTAAAGGCTGCCTCAAGTTTTCGTGCCCTATGATATACTGTGGAGTGTCAAGGCGTGGACGTTGCAACACCATTTTGAAAACACAAAACAAACTGGGTGCTTTGGAGGCGTCCTACCTTCTGATTGTTTTTCTTGTTATCCCTTTGCACGTGGCCAGAATTGCTGAGAAACATGGAAAGAGACTCGTCTCGGTGGTGAAAATGCCGTCCACCCTACTCTGGCAGCTTCACCCGGATTTTTCCGCAGTTGTGTGGTGAGCTCACAGGGAAGGCGTCCTGCAAAAACTTCGAATGAATTACGTTGATTGCATCTCACTCCGCATGATAACAAGCTGCGTTCATCTCGGTGCAAATCAGTGTTGAGTGTACCTTGTTCTTCGTTTCTTCCACTTTGGAAACCGGGCTGTTTACAAAAGGTCACCACCCTTATCGTTTCTTCCTACCATCAACTGGGGTATTCTCGCTTATCGATACATGGCACGTCATCCTCGATATTTTTTATTGATGTACTGCTAACGCCGTCCATTATGATGGCAAATAGGGATGTCTGTCCTTGATGTCTTCACACATATTAGTACACTCTATTGTTAATAACAAAAGCCACTTGATAAATCAGAATGCTAGAAAGCGACACTAATAAAAGTTGTTTTAAGGGCGTGAGGTTACAACACCTTAATCGAGTCGAATACAATACCCAAAATGGGAATGTACAAATGAAGGACTTATCGTTCTGAGTGGAAGTTGCAATAGTTCCACCGAGTTGGTTTGCGCACAGGTAATCGTGTTTCTTTTGTCAGATTCACTGCCACACGTTCCTAGTTGTCCGCGGTTGTTGTTGGGTCGAGCCGGTCTGTGTTCCGACGCGCGAGTGATGCGTGAGGGTGTGTGTGTTTGATTGTGTTCTGTCCTTATATAGGAGAGTGTGACGTGTGTATAAAACATGAATCGTTCCGATGCGTACTAGAGAGGAACTGACTTGTGGTCGGCCAAAGTTGTGGGCGGAACGCCGTTTGTCACGTGATTTGTGTGCTTGTGTTTGATTGTGTTCTGTCATTATACAGGAGAGTTTGACGTGTGTATAAAACATGAATCGTTCCGACGCGTACTAGACAGGAGCTGACTTGTATAGCAGGTCAGTCGCGGGATCTAGTAAACACGCATATACTAGAAAAATTAGGTGAAGCCGGTTGAGGGGACATGGAAATGTCTGCTACAAATACTCTCCAACTAACGGAAAGGAACAACAAAAATAAAAACATGGTCGCTTGGACGTTCGGTGTGTCAAATTGTGATGAAATAGTTTATGTCAACTTGCGATGAAACGATCTGGCCAGTGTATGTGTCTGCCGGAATGGGTGATTTGGTGAGGTTGTGCAGAGCAGTCGCTTGCAGATTTGGGAGACGTGCCTGCAGTGTTATCGATGGGCACTTTGGGTTGTAGACCGTCAGGAACAGGGAGTCGAGATAAGCAGGTTCCAAGCGATCAATAGAAATGTTTTCCTGCTTACCATGTGTGCGAACAGTAAAATATTTGTCATTCCGCAAAAGAACACGGAAAGGACCAGCAAACGGTGGCTGTAGGGCTGGTTTAACACGATCGGAACGTATAAACACAAATGGATAAGTTGCGAGGTCAGGGGCGGTATAAGACAGTTTGCTTGATGTTTGTGGTGAAGAATAGCGTAGGTGCGACATGTAAAATTTCAAGTTAGTTACGTAAGCGACCGGGTCGCTAGGAGTATGTGGGTTTGAATTGAAAAATTGTCCTGAAATACGGGGGGTCGTTCCGAGGACTAATTCAGCGGGTGAACAATGCAGTGAAGAACGGTATATTGTGCGTAAATGTAGAAGTATAATGGGTAATTGGTCAGACCAGTTTAATGGGTTGTCTTGAGCGCAGAGAGCAGTCTTTAGGTGTCGATGAAAGCGACCGACTAAACCGTTGCTTGTGGATGATATGCAGTGGTCCGGATGTGTTTGCATCCAAGTAGCTCAGTCAAACGTACGATCCGTGGTTATGAACGAAGGTACCCCAAAAATGGAAATCCATCCATTGATTAATGCGCGAGCGATAGTCTCCGCGGAAGTGTCAGGTATTGGGATGGCTTGGGACCACCGCGTAAAACGATCGACACAAGTAAGGAGATAGGAGAATGAATTTGATGCCGGGAGAGGGCCGACCGTATCTCTGTGGACGTGGTCGAATCGACCTTCTGGAGTGTACCTTCTGGTGAAGGTACCGATGGGTGAATGAGTATGGCGAATCACTTGAACGCTGAGAAGCTGGACAAATTTTGCCCACGAACGAACCTCTTTGTTTACATTCGGCCATATGTAACGTTGTGAAATGAGCTTGACCGTCAAACGTATACCAGGGTGAGAAACGTGCAGAGCGTCGAAAACCTGGTGGCGCATTGCATGTGCGACTATAGGTCTTGAAGTGGGTGTAGAGACAACGCAGTCTATGGTACCTGGTGCTATTTTTAATGGTACCGGCTTAACGTGTAAGGAAAACGGTTTGTCGCTTGACGGCGAAAGAATGGACTCGTCCCGCTGTAGCTGAGCCATACGTTGCAAATGGATCGTGAGCGATTAAGCATCCTTAAAAAACGTTTGAATTGTTTAACAGATGAAGGAAAAGGAAAGCTACGGATGGCACCGAGTTTATCGGCGACCGGTTCAATTCCGATGTGGTCAATAGTATGTCCGAGAAAAGATAGTAGACAAGAAGCAAAAACACGTTTTTGAGCGTTACTTATGACACCATATTCCGATGAACGGGTAAATACAGTGCGCAAATGCCCTAAATGTTGTTCGGGTGTGGTACTAGCAACCAAAATATCGTCGAGGTACGCAAACACCAAAGGAAGACCACGCAGTACCTGGTCAATAAAACGTTGAAATGTTTGTGCTGCATTACCATGGCCAATGGCAATTCACCAACGAGATCCGTTATGTATCAGGCCATCTCAATATCGTGGCAGACAATTTGTCTCGGCCGGCAGTTGACTCCCTTCACTCAAGGATCGGCAATGCAGAAGCCACTCAAGTAGATCACCAGGATGAGTTCGAAAAAGCCAACTATTTCATTGGTGCATAATTCAGATGAAACGTTCCTTCCATCGATGAGGAGAATTTTGAAGCATGTCTTGAAGGACAACTTTTTGCCCTATGACCAGGGATCCCGCAGTTATAACAGTTTCCTTTCGGCATTGTAGTGGACGCATGCGGTGCGTACGGAACGAAATTGGGTGGCAGATTGGTGTAGAAATGATGACTGGCAGGGTGAGTTGGAGGTAACGATCCGGGTGGTGGTGGAGGATGGGATAATAAATTGGGGATCATAGGAGCAGCTTGGAGAGGCGGAGGAAAGGAGGGGGTGGGATATATGTTGATACCATTGCTTGAAGTCGGAATCACAGGAAAGGCAGTCAGGTTGCTATTCACAGCCGATGTACTTGAAGATGAAGATGTGGATGTCACTGTTGCTGTCGGTGTTGCTGCTGGTGTCTCGTTTGTCCCCTCGTTCTTGCCTCCATACCTACCTACCGGCCCTGTATTCGCCCCTACTCAGGGAGCACCACCACCTGTAGGGTTCCCACCTGGTTCAATGTTCACGGGGAATTCGGTAACACGAGGTGGAGGCACAGCTGCACGCCGGCAACTTCCTCCGATGCGTACTAGACAGGAACTGACTTGTATAGCAGGTCAGTTGCGGGATCTAGTAAATAAGCGTGTACTAGACAAATTAGGTGAAGCCGGTTGAGGGGACATGGAAATGTCCACTACACATATCCACCTGCAGTGGCACCTGCGTCACCAGAACTATTCTTCTGGATGTGGCAGGAGACTTAGCAACAGTGAAACCAGCTACAATGCCTGCATCGTGTAACCATGTATCTGGCAAGCAGCATAAGCCAGTGTGTACGTGACAGCGCGTTGATAAGCTTCGCTTGTTGTCCTGCTTGTTTCGGAGTGAGCATATTTACAGCCTTCGGGCAAACGGGCCTTCGGGACTTGACAAGTGGCTTCGAGATGGTATGAAGACGATGGTATATAAAATGAAGAAGCATAAGCTTTATCTGAGAATGATACAAGATGATGAAAGTGGAGAGCCATGGCGCTGGAACCTGTAGAAAAAAAGGGAATCAGGAAATACTGACAATGGTGATGCCTGACTGGTGGACGGAATGACGTTGGGTAAGATCATAGTAGTGCAGTGGAAATAAAGACGCGATTTATACCAGTGCAGTCAGAAAGGTGTCAACACTAACACTTTCGCTCTGCAAGCAGAGTGACATGGTTAATAACGCTAATTCGTAACCGATGTGTTTTGCAGTTGTGAGTCTCACGGATGTGTGGAATACTGCACGGACACTCACACCTGGCCAAGACGCTAACTGTGCCCTCACTCAAACTAAAGTGTCCTAAAAATCCCACCGTAAGACAGTGGGTTCGTGCTTGCAATCCAGTGCACTAAGGCGAAGCTTTACGGAACGAGCGGCCCTTCACGACCCAATCTGGACCCTGGAGGACCAGCAGACTATGACCAGTCCTGTGTGGGAATTCCTGCCCAGGGACCTGACATGACGCGAAATTATGGACACTGCTTCCTTAATCAGGTAGAAATCCCCCAGGTGCACTTAGACCCTTGTCCCACATGCCAAAAATGGGTTCTAAAATGCCAAAGCATAAGTGAAGACACTACGCTTAAGGTTGAAGTCGTCGACGCCCACGGCTTACATTTACGTGGAACTCTATTGCCATCTTCGTCTTCGTTCAAGTTCTATCACACGAATTCTTCTTCTTCAGCCATTCAGAGCACTTATGCTCGTCCGCCCGGTTGCCGAATCTGGCGACGTTCATAAAAAAGCAAATTCCTTGTCATTCTTATAATGCTCGCATTCACAGATGGCGCCTACTTGGAGTCTTCGCCACACACCACACGTTTCTTTGAGCTGACAACGGTGTCTCTTACATTTCGATGCAGTCCTCGTGGTAGCTTTCGGTTAGTCCATTATCTTTACCCATGATCTCGTGAGCTTCTACCCAACCATTCATTTCCGACCTGCTACTCTCTCTATATCGATCTCCCATCCACATGACAGGGCCACTCTGATGACACCATGTAACTACATCCACTCTCCAGGCCATCGGTTACCCTCTCGAATTGCTACCGCACCCGCCGACTACTAAGTCTTACATTTTTCAACTATTCTTTCCTTCGCCCTACGTCGACTGACGGACTAGCTCCCAGTACGAAGCACGGGACAACTTTCATATCTAATGCTGGCCCTTTGAATCTCTATCTGAATGTTCTGCATACATGCCATACGGGAGCATACTTACGGTACTGCCCTCATTCTTTTCCCGGAAACCTCAGCTATACCTAGTTCGTTAGGACCGTAAACGCAAATTCAAACTTCCGTAGGCTCATTCGGCTTTCACCGGCTTCTTTTTTTACTAATGGACGCCATGTTATCGGGTGGCACCTAAAACTCACCACACTTTACTGATCCCGCTCCGTTGACTCTTCTCCTCAAGTTTCAAAATTAAACGGCAGCTTCTCCGAAAGTCGCGCACGGCCGTCACCAATTTTGTGATGCCCACAATTTTCGTTCACGCGGGCTCCCAACTTAATAACAATCATCTGTGGTTCTACGTCGGGTTTACTCTGCCTGTATTTATACCCTTGTTTATACCAGGTCCAGCTGCTGCAGATACGCGCATCGTCCGTTCGTTCACCAACGCCTTGGCGTCCGTTAAGCAAACATCCATTAGAAGAGGTATGCCAGGGCAAATATGGCACGACACTTCAATGCCCAGTATTGTGTCATACCACAGCTGTTCTCTTCCTACACTCGAAGGTAAAACCGTGGAGTCGTGCTCATTACGTTGTGGAGGATAAAACTCTAGAGCAAACTCGGTGGAGATGAAGATGAGAAATTTGAGGCAGAAATAGATGGCAAGTTGCGTCACGAGTGTGGCGTGTATCGAAACTGTGTTGATTCACTCACATCGCTGTTGGGGGTATTTCGGTCTTAAAATTTAACTAGGATGGAATATAAGGGCTAATACATACAGCCGACTAAGCATCACAAGTAAAATCGCTTGATTTGTGTGGGGGTATGACCGAAGTTTCAGCGTTACGCCACGATCGTAAAGTCCGCGTACTATGCATGGCGGATTAGGACAAAATTATCTCAGAGATGGTTGGGGCTGGGTGAACAGTTTGTTCGTCGTTGAAGGTAAAGGCCTCATGGGGCAAGAGTAGAGAGTCGGTAGTAGGAAGGGAATGGTTGCAGATGCATCATCAGACTGATTGTGGTGTCATTATTGCAGTGACGTACTTTCTGAACAGCACAGCATCTCTACCTACGTTAGTCACCTGGTGGCTGGACATAGAATGCGTATTTCCACGGAGACTGGAATCCGGGTTCATCAAAGAGGTTGACGCAGGTAGATGCAAACCTATATGCTCTCCAAAACCGATCTTTAGGAACACAATGTTCTTATCTGCAAACATTTTTTGGTAGAACGAATCCCTTTGCGTCAAAATGTTGCACCTCAGCTGGACATAGGATGCGTATTTCCACGGAGAGTGGAATTCGGGTTCATCAAAGAGGTTGACGCAGGTAGATGCAAACCTATATGCTCTCCAAAACCGATCTTTAGGAACACAATGTTCTTATCTGCAAACATTTTTTGGTAGAACGAATCCCTTTGCGTCAAAATGTTGCACCTCATTGCCTACATGCACTCAAATAAAAAATCGCACAAATCCAACTTCATCCTTTTTAATTAGCCTCACTTTTAAAGTTTTGTCGCGCGTTCAACTTGAAATCACTGGTAGAGCTGGATGGGCACGCTTTGGCCGGCTGACTAGACATCTTGGATACCTAGCCGCATGTTGGTCGTGCGCGGCAGCTAGGTTCGTTCTGATACTGGGGGTGGTATGTGTTTGATCGAATCACGATGCAGCGCAACATGAAGACCTTCCCGGCATGGCGTACTCAACCATGACACATGTTTTTACCCCCGCGCAGGCTACCAGATTCGCAGATGGGCATGTTACCAATCGGTCATAATTCCGACTTTTGTACTAAAAAATACTTCAGCCATCAAATATTTCATTTGATCGGGGGAAGTCAGGCTTGTGAAACAGGTTATATCAAACAATCAGACAGAAAAAAGCCACTGAAACTTCCGAGTCGCAAGGGCAAACGAAAGGAAAACTGTCATTTGTTCCATGCGAGTAAAGTGTATATGTTCAGAGGGTGTACCGTATAGCTCAAAGGCACCGAGGCGTTGGTTCGAGCCACCGTATCAAGCAAAGCCACACAACATCGTTGGGTGAGACTGAATAGACCGTGGTTTCTAACCAGAATCTTGTTCATGGTGCATCTTTGGTCATGGCACTGCTTACCCAACAATGATAATAACAACAATAATAATTATTATAACAGATTTATTCCCCATGTTGTAGGAAACATGCCGACTGAGGCGTGATTGGATCGTTACAACACGAATATGACAGGCAGCAACACACCGGGGAGGAGTTACGACCAATGAGGCATGCTTACTAAGTGAAATGTCACCGCGTTTGTAGGAATCAGAAAATCTATGATAGTGGGCGTAACGTGCGACGTCACAAAAATTTTTTAAGTCAGCGAAATCATAAATGGCCAGAAGACCCGAACCTCTCGGTAAGTGTTCAGGACGATAAATGAGTCGAACTTGCATAGTCCACCTATTTCCACACGTATCCCCGGCAACCATCGATATCCGCTACATCTGGTTCTCACTGAAATGGTGCAACCTATTACGTTCTTACAAAACATACACATGCCTAAAATGATCCTTAATCGCCCTCACTGGCAAC